TCTCTCTTCAAAAAAAAAATCTAGGTGTATCATGTGTAAGTTTTAAGCTGCTTCCAACTCATTCTAGAAGGAAGCTGTTAGAAATAAACAACAGCCTCACTGAGGAAGGCTTCAGAAAATTACTCAGGATCTGGGTCTTACAAGATGGAAACAGACCCCGATGGACCCTGGGGTCCATCCCACAGGGGGGGAGCCCTGGGCACCCAGAAGCATCAGGACACACCAGATGCAAAGGTAAGATGAATTTGGTGTGGTTAGATACGCATGGGGGAGATGGAGCAGTTCTATAATCAGGATTAGATCAGTGTGCTGTGTGAGGAGGTTGGGCTTGTCAATCACTTATGTTTGGGATAGATGTTAGGGGATATAGCAGGGCTGTGGCGTGATTTCTGTGTTTTAGGAAATGTCTTCTGTGGTTGTGTGGAAGATGGGCTGGAAGTTTGTGAGCCGATTTTAGAGATTCAGGACTGACCTCACACGTGGGCAGTGAAAATGGGAAAGAAGTCAGTAGACATGGAAGAAAAATGTAGGATAGGTCTGTTAACTAGTTGTTCGTGTTGAGGAGTACACAGGTTTCTGTTTTGAAAAGCTACAGTGATGTGGCTGAAATCAGACATTAGGAGATTTGGTAAGGGAATAATTAGGGGTTTTAATTAAGCTTTGGAGACTTGGAGATTTCTGAGATGCCCAGAGGGAAAAGCCAGTCAGAGGTGGTTGGTAGATAACCATAACATTAAACAGTGTGTTTGATGGTTAGGGGAGAAGATGGGACTAGGGAGAGAGGTTCTCCTGACACCCCTGTTTTGTTTTAAATGAACATCTAAGCATTTAACTGTGGGCAAAAGTTACACACAAAGGGGAGCTCCAAGTCTCAAGGATAGATCTCAGTACTGAGAATCTCATAGTGATGTAGTAAGAAGCAATTTCTCCCCAACCCTGGCCTAGAAAAGAGCTTGTGGTCAGAACAGAAGGCAGCGGGGTGTAGGAGCATGTTCTAAGGAAGATGAGAACACCCACAGAAGGGACCTTCTGCATTTCGGACTTGTTTTCTATGATGCTTTAATGATTCTAAAGGCATTTCAGGGAAGCCTGGGCAGGGAATGGTTTAGAAGGGAGCTGTGAAGGGGGAAGTGAAGAAAGGAATCAGGACCTTTAAGAACCATCATCTTGTTTAAAAGGGGACTAGAGGGTAGGAGGACAGAAGAGGTCAAGAAGGGGGAGGGCCTCTGCCCGAAGCACACGGCTGGTTCTGCTCACAGACAACAGATGGTAAAAATCAACACTTTGAAATTACTTGGTCCCTTGGAGTTGGTAGGGAAGGGGAAGGAACACAATAGGGAAAGCAAGTTTAGCACTAATTTTAAGACTGCAGAGCCATCTGAGAGCAAAAAATGAAGGTGGAGCCACAGAAAGGGAATGACCATTCCCGGTAGCTAGGTCTGAGTGTGTGAGAACAAAATGAAATCATGAAGGCATCATAGCTGTTGCAAAGATCTTGGAAACTAAGCATCTCAGTCAGGCATGTAATCTTAGTACTTGGGAAGCTGAGGCAGGAGGGTCAGGAGTTTAAGGCTAACCTGAAAGAAAGGAGAAAAGGAAGGAATCTCAGCTTCCTTTTGGACCATAATTTATAAGAAGTCTGAAAATGATATTTCTGATAAAGTGTGTGTCCCCCCCCCACCTCTGCCCTTCTCTCTCCTGGGACTTGAATTCTAGATTGGGTCACTGTTCCTGAGCTTTTATGCTCAAGGCTAGTAGTGCTCTACTACTTGGGTGAGTTCCACTTAGTGGTTTTTAGTGGTTAATTAAGGATAAGACTTTCATAGACTGCCCTGACTTGAGTAGTTTTGAACCTCAATCCTTGAATCATCTGATCTCATATCTCAGCCTCCTGAGTAGCTAGGATTACAGGTGTGAGCCATCAGCACCCCGCTATAAATTCTTTCAAAAAAAAAAAAAAAGAGCCGGGCACTGGTGGCTCACACCTGTAATCCTAGCTACTCAGGAGGCTGAGATCTGAGGATCGCGGTTCAAAGCCAGCCCGGGCAGGAGAGACCGTGAGACTCCTATCTCCAATAAACCACCAGAAAACCGGAAGTGGCGCTGTAGCTCAAGTGGTAGAGTGCTCGCCTTGAGCTGAAGAGCTGAGGGACAGCGCCCAGGCCCAGAGTTCAAGCCCCACGACTGACCAAAAAAAAAAAGAAGACATTTTAGATGGTAGTGCATTTAGTTATAAGGTGTTCAAATTGCAAATGACAAGCATGTGCCTGTGGTTCATGGTTCATGCCTGTAATCCTAGCTACTCAGGTGGCTGAGATCTGAGGATTGCTGTTCAAAACCAGCTAGGTCTGGACAGTTTCAGGCTCAAGTGGTTGGTAGAGGGTGAGCAAAAGAAATCCTGGGATAGTGCCCAGGTCCTGAGATGAAGCCCCCTGGACTGACACATACACACACAAAGCATGTGGGTTTCACCATGTATTTCACAAGTAATTATGAGGTGCCTACTGTATACAGCTGTCTTCAAGGAGCTCTGGAACACAGATAGTATTACCTGCCTTTGCCACTTTTTGTTTTGTTTTGTTTTCAGCATTGCTTAACCTACAAAGTTAAACTTGACTATGGGCCTTATGGTACAGTGCTGGTCTTAAGCAAAGGAGCTCAGGGACAGCACCTGGGCTCTGAGTTCAAGCCCCACAACCAACCAAAAAACACCAAACAAACCCAGAAGTGAAGTGAGGCTCAAGTGGTAAAGCACTAACTATGAGCTGTAAAGTAAGAGTTCAAGCCCTAACCGGGACCATTGGCTTCCATTGGAGTCTTCTCTTTGCTTAGCCATTAGACTCAGTTGCTTCAGATGTAATAAGAAAATGTGTGTCTTTTGGGGAGTGAGTGGTGGAAGTTAAATTGCAGGAAAAAAACCACTAACAGTACTACTAATATGGGCTGCCAGCACTAGAAGGAATTTTAAAGAGCATCCACTGTAGCTGGGATTTATAGATGAGGAATTGTCAGAGAGGAAAGAGGACTTGCTTAATGTCAGAAAATGGGTGACAGAGTTAAGAGCAGTTTTCAGATGCTATGTTAGCCTTTTATTAGTATACCCTAGATAATCAGCCTATAGAGAGAAAAGGGTTGTCAGGCTCACAGTTTCAGAGTTTTCAGTTGATGAGCACTTTGGTCCTATTGCTTTGGGCCTATGGCAAGGAAGCATATCATGGCAGGAGCCTGTGGCAGAGCCCATGGTCAGGAAAGTGAAAGAAGAGAACAGGAAAGGGCTAGAGTCTCCCTTTCCTCTCCAAGTTCATGCCCTTAGTTCCACCTTCTCCCACTAATACCACACTGGGGACCAAACCCCTTATTCATGAGGGACATTCAAGATCCAAGCCTTATCAGATGAAATGGTGGGAAAGTCTTGATGGTACCTTGGAAAAAAGGGAGTCTTAATGAGAGTTTTCCAGAAAGGAAGATAGGGGTTCTTGAAAACAAACCACCAGTCTTCCACTTGCAACTCTTCTATTACAAGGCCTTTTGAGAAGCCTCTGTTTTTCTCTAATCTCTAGTTTAAACGAAGACTGAGGTCTTTGTTTAAAGTTTTAATATGTTGGAATTCAGACTGCGTCAAAGGTAAATTATTTTTGAGATATGAGTCAGGAGACAGAGGAGGTGATAACATAGGTTACAATTTTTGTCTTTTGGCAGGCCTCCGTGAGGGGAGTGTGTGCCACATTTCCTTTGGATCCTCTGCTGTATCTGTATACCTCAGGGCTGAGTCTCCTAATTTGCGATACTACTGTCATCTAATGCTAATCCTATCCTAGCAGGAATTAAGGTTCCTGTTCTAGGAGTTCCTATTTTGGGGCAGTTTCCCAGGCCATGCGTCAGTCACTGTTCAGCACACTTCCTTGGCTCCAGGCTGATTGTCCTACAGTAGCAAGCACTGTGTTACATCTTTGTGTAATTGTGAACTTTCCACCTTAGGGAACACCTTTTCTCTGACACTTGCCTAGGGTAGGTTCTCTGTGCCAGCCCTCATGCATCTTGTTACTTTTATTTTCTACTCCCTTACCCAAGTGTGTACATGCATGAACATCCTCATTTATTCCTTTGAAACTGTCCTTGGTATGTACTTCTGCCTTTCGATGAACATTGTCTCCCTCCGAGTGCAGGCTGTTTTTCTTGCCCATTGTATACCTGCACCATCTTCTTCAGCTGTCTGTTCATGCCCTATGCATTCTTAAAGATCCTGCACGTATGTCCTCTTGTTGACAAAGAAGACAGATCTACCTTTTCCTTCCCCTGAACGCCTAACGTACGTGGTCCTCTGTCATGGTGTCCATTCCAGCAGGCCTCTCACCTCAGTTGGCGGTTGATTCCTGTGGTGACTCTTTCTAGGCTATCAGGCTTGTCTTTGTATCCCCCCATACCGTGTAGAGCTTGCTCAGACTTGGGAAGGAGTGCATTCCATACCTGTTGAGTTGTCTGAATGTGAAGTAAAAACCCATTAAAGATATATTTGGATCTACATTGTATATAGTCTATGATTCTACTTTTGGAAGCAGTTTGATATTGGTAAGATGTCAAGGAAGAACTGCAGTTCATTGAAGCGCTGGTCTGCTTGTTTTTTTACTCACATTGTAGAACTGTTATGCCAGAGAAAAGAGAGATTGGGGGCATTTACTGACTCGCCCAAAATATACAGCTATAAGTGAGTATTGACATCAGGATGCCAGTCTAGTTTTTCTTCATCCAGAGAACTTTAAGGAGCCCCAGTTCATTACTGTCCTGACCTCTGTCCAAGATTTCAGTGCTACAGTGCTTTCATTATGATGCTGCTTCTTAGCATTAACTTCAAAGGCACTAGGTACAAAGTCTTTGTCCAGTTTCTCTAGCCTTTGCTGAAACTTTTACCACTTAGTTCCACCCTTAGCAGACTTAAACATTATTAATTGGAAGATTAGTCTTCTCCAGCTGCCATAGCACCATATCATGGATTGAGTAGCTAAAACAACAGGAATTTGTGTCTCCTAGTTTTCAAAGGCTGAGAAGTCCAAGATCAAAGTGGTGTAACAAGGTCAGTTTCTTTCTTAGGCCTCTGACCTGGTTTGTGGGTAGTTGCCAGCTTAGTGAGTAATCGCATGGTTTCTTCAGATGGTAAAGAGGAAGGCAGAGAGTGAATTTTATGATGTCTTTTCTTCCACAACTCCCAGCAATAATTCTGTTGGGCCAAGGCCTCTTACTTGTATAAGACTTCATTTGGCCTTAATTCCTCAAATATCCAGTCCCCAAATATAATCACATTAGAGCTCAGGGCTTCAATTTTTTTGCTTCAGTATTTGAATTTTATGAGCACACAAATAGCCCAGGGATTTTTTGTTTTAAGGTGTATATTAAATATACCTATTACTCTCTTCTGGTAGTTCAGTTAATGTTAGTGCTCTTGGGGAATTATCCTAATCATTTTCTCTTTTTTAAAATGATATTAGAATTGTGCTTTTATTTAGATCTGTCTGTGGGTCTTTGTCATATACAAGGGGAACTTTTATTGCTTTTCACTTTTGCTTTTTTTTTTTTTTTGTCGGTCGTGGGGCTTGAACTCTGGGCCTGGGCGCTGTCCTTCAGCTCTTCAGCTCAAGGCGAGCGTTCTACCACTTGAGCTACAGCGCCACTTCCGGTTTTCTGGTGGTTTATTGGAGATAGGAGTCTCACGGTCTTTCCTGCCCGGGCTGGCTTTGAACCGCGATCCTCAGATCTCAGCCTCCTGAGTAGCTAGGATTACAGGCGTGAGCCACCAGCGCCCGGCTTGCTATTTTTTTTTTTTTATCATTTGTACTTTAATGCAGCCGTTAGTGTACTGTTCTGTTGTGTATGATACTCTGTGCATGGTAGGCAGTTTTACACCTGCATAAAGATATATACATTTATTAAATGCTTATTGAGGGCCACTTTTATGAGGTTACTGGGCTGCTTGTTGGACCACAACCATGATTGGAATATGCAGTATGTTTTCTATTAGAATAGAAGGCACAAAAGGGGATCACTACTTTAGCAGAGTAGAAGGTAGGGAAGGCCAGTCCATCTGTAATAAAAGCTGATGCATCTTGTTGTCATCTGTAACCAATTAAGGACATTTTTTAGCTTTAGGCTAGAATATGCTTTCTAGCCTCAAAGTTTCCAGTGAGATACTTTCCTAGGGACATGTCCGTTGACGTGTTTATGTACTAAGGACTGTATGGTGCTTTTGCAAAATTCTAGCATCTTCCTGGAGCGTGGACCACTTTAAAAAGCACTGTATCTCTGGGCACTGGTGGCTTATGATAGTATTACAGATCCTAGCTACTCAGGAGTCTAAGATTGGAGGATTGCAGCTCAAAGCCAGTCTGGGTAGGAAAGTTGGTGAGACTTTTCTCTTCAATTACCATAAAAAGCTAGAAGTGAAACTGGCTCAAGTGAGAGTGCTAGCCTTTAGCAAAAGTGCTCAGGGACAGTGGCCAGGACTTAAGTTCAAACCCCAGGACTGGAAGGAAAACAAAAAATAGCTCTATATGCTCTTTACAGTTACTTTCCAGTCATACCATGCTTTTTATTTTTTTTCCAGATCCACATCAGCAATTTGTTTTAGAACTCTGATTATAATAAATGAGATATCTGAGGGAGGTGGGGGAGGACAGGGTCTTTGGTTGAGAGAGATGGGCGGTGATGGAAGCAAGGAGAATGGACAGAGGGGAAGGAAAGAAGGGACAGAGTCAACCAGTAGAGGTGGGCAGGGACAGCTCCCTTAATTGGTTCTACCCTTGGACCTTTACCAACTGACATCTGGATTGCGGATTGCTTATTAGAGGCTGTCACTCCATCTAAATAAAAGTACAAGCAGAGTAGAAGAGCAAGGGCTTGGCAGTCAGAACTGGGTTTGAAACCTAGGGTCTTTGCCACTAATTATCTGTATTACCAAGGTAAATTCCTAAGCCTCAGTTTTCTAGTCTAGGAAATGGGAATAATTCATTAGTAGAAATAAACTACTTAGCTGAAAATCCATAAGAAGTCTTTGGAGTATATTGTTTTATACTAGAATCCCTTTACAGCTCTGCAGAACCCAACCACATGGCCCAGGGAGGCCTGCTGTTCTACAAAATTAAGCAAAGTAAATTGGTAAGTCTGGATTTACTTAACTAGTGATTAAATAACAGTTTGGTTAATAGGCTATTAATGGTCCCCAGGTGTTGGTAATTCCAAGTATTTGCTTTTGAAAGCAGTTGTATAATTTCTTCTGGCACTTAAAAATTTCCTTAACAGAAATATCTTGAGTGTTACAAACAGTGCTCTTAAGGGCTATTTTTGGGAAGATTAAATAATATAGTGCACATAAAGCATCTGGTATAGTGCCTAACCCCCAAGAAGTGCGATTATCAGCTATTGTCATTGCTCAACTGGCCACTTTTACGGAAAAATTCTTTAGACTCCCCTGAAGTCCACCACCACCTAGCAGCATGTGGCAGTACCATGCATATGAAGAAGTATTAAATTGTGTGGCATGAATTTTGTGTTATTTCATTTCCAAGAATCCTAAGGACTGAACATTGTCAGAGTGTGGTTTATTTGCCTGAGATCTGGAATTCATATGTTGTTAAATGATGAAATGACTTTTTTTTTTATCTCTACAGTTGCTGAAGAATTTTTTTTAGTGTATTAACAGCAAGAGTAAATGAAGAAGGGAAGCAGGCATGTTAGTAGCAATGTAATGTAGTAGCAGCTGTTAGTAGGAATGTAAATTGGTACAGCATTTTACAAGGATAAGGTGCTGATGTCTCAGAACTCTGGAATGTTTCATCTTTTGTGGCAGCTATCCATTTTCTAGGAATAGCTTTTGAAGAAATAAGATAGAAAAAGATTTAGAGCCAGGTGCTGGTGGTTTATGCCTGTAATCTTAGCTACTCAGGAGGCTGAGATCTGAGGAAAGTAGTTCAAAGGCAGCCCAGGCAGAAAAGTCCATGGGACTCAACTCCAAAACCTACTCAGAAAAAGCTGGAAGTGGCACTGTGGCTCAAATGGTAGAGCATTAGCCTTAAGTACGAGAAGCTCAGTGTGTGTGTGTGTAAAAGTATATATACATAGAATATGTGTAAAATAGCATTATATGTAATGCTATTTATAAACAAAAGTAGGATCAACCCCTTTTTGTTTGTGAATGAGAGCTGTCATTAAATCAGTGTTGTTTGTTGTTTAACTTTTATTTTTTGTTTTCCTTTTTCTTTTGGTGCTACTGTAATCATAGAGTTTGAACTCAAGGCTTGATTGCTATCCCTAAGCTGTTTTTTGCTCAAGGCTAGTGCTCTACCACTTGAGCCACAGCTCCACTTCCAGCTTTTTTGGTGTGTGTGTAGTTAATTGGATATAAGAGTCTTACAGACTTTGTTGTTCAGATTTTAGCTTCCAGAGCAGCTAGGATTACAGGTGTGAGCCACTGGTACCCAGCTAGGATCAGTGATTCTTTTTTTTTTTTTTGGTCAGTCGTACGGCTTGAACTCTGGGCCTGGGCGCTGTCCCTCAGCTCTTCAGCTCAAGGTGAGCGTTCTACCACAGCACCATTTCTGGCCTTTTCTGCTTATGTGGTGCTAAGGAATTGAACCCAGGGCCTCATGCATTCAAGGCAAGCACTCTACCACTGGGCCACCTTCCCAGCCCCATAGATCAGTGATTCTTAAAGAGTGGGGGGCATGGGGAAAGTGGACATAATGGTAGCTCATCTGGCCAAGGAGTTGGGGGTGGGGGAATTAGGTAAGAATCTGTTCAGGGTGCTATGTAGTTGAAGAGCATTCCACGCACCCACTGATTTCATTATAAAACTTATAGTAAAATGGACTGGAGATCATTCAGAAGAGAGATTATACAGAACAAGGGCTAATCGATTTAAGTTGGAGAACATTCCATTTTTTAGAAGGAATAGAAGTATTGATGAAAACAGACAACTTATGTTGGGCATTTGGACAAGAAGGTGGCCTGATCGTATATCATATAGAGACCTTAGTGAAATGTGATCAGGGCTGGGAATGTGTCACAGTGGGAGAGTGCTTGCCTTGCATGCATGAAGCCCTGGGTTCAATTCCTCAGTACCACAGAAAAAGCTGGAAGGGGTGCTGTGGCTCAAATGGTAGAGTGCTAACCTTGAGCAAAAGAAGCTCAGAGACAGTGCCCAGGCTTTGAGTTCAAGCCCCAGAACTGGCAAAAAAAAAAAAAATATGATCAAAGCACCAACGTGGAAAGCTAGGAATGCAGGGATACCTTGCCTGAAGATAAATGCCTTCTTGTTTACTAGTGTTTCGGGTCTGAACTGCTTTTAGTACATGTTTAATAAATCTCTGTCTCCAGCACTGAGTGTTCCCTATGTGAATATGAGTGGTGCCTGGTAGGAGGAGATCCTGACCACAGTAGTACCTCATTCTAACCTTCATTCTGGGGCTGAGGTAGTGTGTTGTGGGAGAGCCTAGATTTTGTCACTCTCATGGGAAACCTACACTCCTTGGCCTTGACTTTACTAAGCACCTGGGTGCGAAATGTGCTCACTCAGCACTGTAAGGATGACAAGGCAGACATAAAGAGTCATTATTGAATAGTTTGGAACCACTCAAAGCTCAAGAGCCTAAGGGACAGTTCTAGATGATCAATAGCAATACCAGATTTCTGTTATCTTTGTGATCTCGGGCAATCTACTTTATGTTTCGGGTTCTCCATTCCTTCAGTTGTGAATGAGGACAGTGGACAGAGTCTCTCCACAGGCTTCTTTATTTCTGAAATGATTGAAATTGTTTATATAAGGTTGTGTACTCTTAAAAGTGGCCCTTAGATCTGGGGAATCAGAGTTCCACATCTCCTTGTAAAGATAAATCTGAGGTTGCTCCAGGAACATGACCTAAGGTCACACCTATAATGATGGAAATGTCAGATCTTTTGGAGTAATTTCCTCGTGATCCTGAAATCCTGGTACTATTTGCCTCATCTGTTCTGTTTGATTATACAGTGGCTTCTCTTGTCTTCATCTGTGACAAAAACTCGAGAGAGCTATTTGGTTCAAAATCTAGACGTAAAGGAATAGCCAGTTCCCTAACACTTAGCAGAAAAATAAATCAGGAAAATAGAGTTGCAGGTAGCTGTTATGTACCAGATATTCACAATATGATCAAGACTACTAGTAAAGTTGTGAATGTCAGAATTCAACATTATGGAAAAGAATGTTGTTGTTGTTGTTTTTCTCCTAACTCTTCCTCCCCCTCCTCTTCCTCTTCCTCTCCCTACTCATCTCCCCTCCCCCCCCCACCTACCCTTCCTCCACTTCCTCTTCTTCCTTCTCCTCTTGTGACACTCCTGGGGCTTGAACTCAGCACCTTGGTGCTGTCCTTTAGCTTTTTCTTTCAAGTCTGGTATTCTACCACCTGAGCCATACCTCTACTTCTTTTTTTTTTTTTTTTGGGTCCGGTTGTGGGGCCTGAACTCTGGGTCTGGGCGCTGTCCCTCAGCTCTTCAGCTCAAGGCTAGCGCTCTACCACTTGAACCACAGCACCACTTCCGGCTTTTTTCTTTTTGTTTATGTGGTGCTGAGGAATCGAACCCAGGGCCTCAGGCATGCAAGGCACGCGCTCTACCACTGAGCCATCTTCCCAGCCCCTACCTCTACTTCTTTTTGGTAGTTAATTGTAGATAAGAGTCTCATGGACTTTCCTCCCAAGCTAGCTTTGCTTCTTAAATCTTCCAAAATCAGCCTCCTAAGTAGTTAGGATTATAGGAGTGAACCACCAGGGGCACACAGCTGTACTCATCTTCTCTGAAACAAGGAAGCTGCCCAGTTAAGGCTTATGCTTAAGTGATGTCTGACATTTTTCTTGCTAGAGTTGGTAATTCTTGTCTCAAACTTCCTTTTTCAGGATAGCTAACTACCCAGAGAAATATAGTGGAAAATGCAAAACAACGAAATTATAAAGCCTGCCAAATACTTCTCGGAGTTGGAAAAGAGCATCTTGCTTGCTTTAGTAGAAAAGTACAAATATGTGCTGGAGTGTAAGAAAAGCGATGCCCGAACTATTGCCCTCAAACAACGTACCTGGCAGGCGCTTGCCCATGAATACAACTCCCAGCCAAGCGTTTCCCTGCGGGATTTCAAACAGCTAAAGAAGTGCTGGGAGAACATCAAGGCTAGGACCAAAAAAATTATGGCTCATGAAAGGAGAGAGAAAGTGAAGCGGAGTGTGAGCCCACTGCTCAGCAGCCACGTCCTGGGGAAGGAGAAGATCAGCACCATGCTGCCTGAGCAACTCTACTTCCTACAGAGCCCTCCTGAGGAGGAGCCGGAGTACCACCCTGACGCCCCAGCCCAAGGTACCTGCTCCTGGTGACGATTTGCATACTATTTTAGTGTTTAAAAATCTTTCATTTGGAAGGAAAAAAACAAACTTTAACATAAAACTTGACTTTGTTTCTCTTTTTATTTCCTCCCATCCTTCCTTCCCTGCCTGCTTCCCTCCCTCCCTCCCCCCTCTTTCCTTCCTTCCTTCTTTCCTTCCTTCCTTCCTTTTTCTTCCCTTTTCTTCCCTTTTCTTCCTTTTATTTATTTTTGGTGCCCTATCCTGGGGCTTGAACTCAGGGCCTGGGCACTGTCCCTGAGCTTTTCTGCTCAAGGTTACACTCTACCACTTGAGCCATCGCTCCACTGCTGGCTTTCTTTGGTAGTTGGTTGTAATTGGAGATAAGAGTCTCCCAGATTTTCGTACCTGGGCTGCCTTCTAACCATGATCCTCATATTTCAATCTCCTTAGCTAGGATTGCAGGTATGAGCCTAGGAAACTTGACTTTGTAGAGACTATTACTGTTTGTAGGATTATATTAAGAAACTGTATTTATTGGATGGTTATTAATGAGGTACTTCAGTTGCTTACCTCAACCTAATTTGAAATACATTAAAGAGAAGTTGATGAGGATTTATATTCATTCACTTGGTCTTTTCATTTTAAAATTCTTTTGAAGACTGCTCATGTGCAAAGCATAGTATTTAGTCACTCCAAGTCCACTTTAAAAGAGTAAACTATTTCAAATTTAAAAACAAAAAGGTACAGTCTGGCATAGTGATTCATGCCTGGCTAATCAGGAGGCTGAGATCCATAGGATCAAGGTTCAAAGCCAGCGTAGGCAGATAAATCCATGAGATTCCTTCTCCAAAAATAACCACAAAAGGACAGGCTGTTAGTGTGGCTCAGGTGGTAGGGCACCAAGTGGTAAGGCAAATAAGCTGGGCAAACTCAAGTTCCTGAGTTCAAACTCAGAAACGAATATAGCAGAACATTGATTGATTGCATGGCTCAAGCAGCTCTGAGTTCAAACCTTACCTAACCCAATTAGCAAAAACACCTAGTTACTATTCACCAAGATTAAAAGCCAGTATCTCTACTGATACCAATAATTGTGATCTAAAGTTTGTTTTGTGGTATTGTAGTGATTTAGAGGAATTCTAGAGAAAATATTTTTTTTATATGTCCATTGAAGGGAGGGAGCTAAATATGTCACACAATCCCATGGAAGAAGAAGACTACCATGTCATCAAAGCGCAGGGATAGCTTGTTGTAGCTTCAAAAGATAGGCATTAAAGGGGTATTAAAATGTCTCCAGAGAAGGGAAGGGTAGAAATGCATAGCAATAAATTTCTAATAATTCCTACTTTTTTAGGATAGGAAGTGGCCAGTAAATGTTCATTGCAGTAGGGAAAGGGTCACCTTGAGTAGAGGAAGGTTCTGGACAGCTAGCCTTCGTGATTGCTTGTCCGTTGCTCTGAGGGCCCCGCAAGCACATGTCTAGGAAAATCTGGTTCTTATTTTTAGGATGGGAAATTTACTTATCCCCAGAGTAGACTGAGCTCTGAGGGATTGGCTTCTGTTAATTAAAAGTCACAAGAAACTGTCTGGAACCAAGAATGTTCTCTCTGTAGAATGAGAAAGATAATTACCAAGTGATCCAACTGTATGCTTTTGATTAGCACCTTTTTTTAAATTCCTGGAGAGCTCAATTAGTATCAAAAGTTTCCTTGCTGGTCATTTGACTGAAGTTAAGTCCAGGAACCCAGTTGAGTAGCCAATGTGGTTAATGTCCTAAAACTTAGGCATTAGTTCCTACTCTGGAAGCTTTTTATTTCTGGGTTTTAATTCTTGGGTTCCCAAGCCAGGTTAATTCCTGGCAGTAGCCTTGGGCCCCACTGCTAAATGACAGTGTTCTTGCTTTGGAGAGGCTTATAGCTTCAACCAAGTAATTCTGCTCCATCTTGCTAGCCTCTGAGCCATTCAGTCTCCAGGTGGCAGTATAGGGACTGGTGCAGAGGGAGGAAAGGACTGGCTGAGCAGAGAGCTCTTTTCATATGGCTGTTCGCTGAGGGCAATGCTGACATGAACTGCATGTAGCTCATTTTGCTCACTTGAATCCTGGGTTACCCTGTGTTGATTTCCAAGGGTTATTCTTAGGTGGCAATCTTATTTCCACATATTCAAAAGCTGAGGTAGGATCTAGAAAGTTCATCCCCCTCGTTTTTTTTTTATTTTGAAAGAAATGATGTAATTCACTTATAAACACAGTGCATAAATTTCAGGAAGGGAATAAATACAGATTTTTGCTGACCTTCCTGTAGTGACATTTACTAAGGACTTACTTGCAAAAGGGATGTATTTTAAACTGGATGTCTGTGCATAGGTGACATGGGAGACCTCCCTTTCGCTGGTGCCTTTTTTTTTTTTTTTTTGGTGGGTTGTGGGCTTGAACTCTGGGCCTGGGTGCTGTCCCTTAGCTCTTCAGCTCAAGGCGAGCACTCTACTGCTTAAGCCACAGCACCACTTCCGGTTTTCTAGTAGTTTATTGGAGATAAGAGTCTCACAGACTTTCCTGCCCGGGCTGGCTTTGAACTGTGATCCTCAGATCTCAGCCTCCTGAGTAGCTAGGATTACATGCGTGAGCTTGCTGGTGCTTATTAAGTACCACTGGATACTGCTGCTTGTGTTTTTCTGTCACACCTAGAGAGCAGGGAACTCTGGTACTTGCTCATTTGGGAATATATGCTCAGAGTAATCAGTTAATATTAGTAGTTAAGGTGTTGTAACACTCCCTACAATAAAAAAGCTTTGAGGGCGGAAGTAGATCTGTGACTGAAGTGGTAGAGTACTAGCCTTGAGCAAAAAAATCTCAGGGCCCATGTCCTTAGTTCAAGCCCCAGAACCTGCAACAAAGAAAAACAATGGTTTTAGGTTGTTTTACTCACTAGATATTTCCATTTACTTACTTACAAAAAGAAAACAGACAGAGATGCAGGCAGGGCATTTATGGCCCTCATTATCTTGTGTGTATTCAGACACATGGACTTTGTGTGTATATTTGTTTTACTTTTGTCTCTTTAATGTACGGCAGCCACAAGCCACATGAGGGTAATAAGCACTTGAAATGTGGGCAGACCAAATTAAGACTAACTAAAAATGTACATCCCACATTTTGAAGATTTGATACCACAAACAAGAATGTAAAATATGCCGGGAATCGGTAGATCACGCCTGTAATCCTAGCCACTCAGAAGGCTGAGCTCTGAGGATCACGGTTCAAAGACAGCTCGTGCAGGAAAGTCTATGAGACTCTTATCTCTAGTAAACCACTAGAAAACTGGAAGTGGCGCTGTGGCGCAAGCGGTTGAGCGCTCGCCTTGAGCTGAAGAGCTGAGGGACAGCGCCCAGGCCCAGAGTTCAAGCCCCACAACCGACAAAAAAAAAAAAAGTAAAATATTTCATTTCTACTTTTTACATTGCTTACACTCATTGCTTTCTCTCTCTCAGGGCCTGGGCTCTTATCTCTGAGCTTTTTGCTCAAGAGTAATGCTCTACCACTTTGAGCCACAGTGCCATTTCTGGTTTTCTGGTAGTTAATTGGCAATAAAGAGGCTCACAGACTTTCCTGCCTGGGCTCACTTTAAACAGCTATTCTCAGATCTCAATCTCCTGATAAACTAGAATTGCAGGAGTGAGCCACCAGCACCCAGACCTTATTTTCTTTCTAATGTGGCTATGAGAACATCCAAAATCACTTAGGTAGCTTATAATCAATTTTTATTCAACACTATTATTCTGACACCTTCCAAGGTGCCTGTTGAGAGAACTAGATTCCAAAGATTTGATGGAGGGTTTTTTTTTTTTTTTTGGTCCAGTCGTGGGGCCTGAACTCTGGGTCTGGGCACTGTCCCTCAGCTCTTCAGCTCAAGGCTAGCGCTCTACCACTTGAGCCACAGCTCCACTTCCGGCTTTTTTCTTTTTGCTTATGTGGTGCTGAGGAATCGAACCCAGGGCCTTGAGCATGCAAGGCAAGCGCTCTACCACTGAGCCACCTTCCCAGCCCTTGATGGAGTTTGATAAATGTTAAGCTGGGCCCATACCAGTGGCTCACACCTGTAATCTTAGCTACTCAGAAGGCTGAGATCTGAGGATTATGGTTTGAAGCCAGCTTGGTCAGGAAAGTCTCTAAGATTCTTGCCTCCAACAAAAACTACTAAGAAAAGCCAGAAGTGGAGCTGTGACTCAGGGACAGCGCCCAAGCCCTGAGTTTAAACTCCAGGATTGGAATAAGAAAAAAAGTTAAGCTGGAACAAAGCCTAGTAGTATTTCACTAGAGGATTCCCTCCAACTACATTTTGGTGTGAGATGGTATCACTGTCATCTTTGTCACTATCTAGTGGGCCTCCTAAACTTTGGCAGTGCCTTTCTCAAAATGTATAGTTGTGAGGTGTCTCATACCTGTAATCCTAGTTACTCAGGAAGCTGAGATCTGAGGATTGTGGTTGGAAGCAAGCCCAGGCAAGGGCATTCATGAGACATTTATCTCCAGTTGAGCACCAAAACAAAAACAAAAAAACAAAAGAGAGAAAAGAAAGGAAGGAAGGAAGGAAGACAGGAAGAAAGAAAGAAAAGGAAAGAAAAAGTTGAAAGTGGAACTGTGTCTCAGGTGGTAGAATGCTAGCTTTGAGCAACAAAGCTCAAGGACAGTGCCTTGGCTCTGAGTTCAAACTCCAGGACAGGCACCCCACCCACCCCCCACCCCCAAGGAAAAAAAAAGTACAGTTGTATTTGAGCACAGGAGTCTTATTAAAGTTTAAGAAAAATACTTGGGAACATATTGAAAAGAAAATATAATATTCACCCCACAAATATATTAAACCAGTTTACACCCTATACATTCTCTGACTGATTGACTTTGACATTTATTTTTCATCATTTTGGTGGAGCTGGTGTGGAAATTAAACTAAGGGAGCTATCACAATTTGCCAAGGTGTAACTGTGAGGGGAGAATGATAGGCCAAATGCATTTAA